GGCCATAGGTAAGTACCGGCCCGGTGGGCCTTGCAACCAACAAGTACCCTGGCGGGTTACACACATACCCAACCAGCAAGCACTCAGACAGGCATGCAACCCAGCAGGCACGCACACACACACATCCGGCAAGCACTCAGACAGGCATGCAAACCAGCAGGCACGCACACACACAGACTTGGGACCACAGCAGAATGCGGGAATCACAGCAAGGCATTCATTCCATTGGCAAATCCCAGAAATCAGCAGTGTTCTCAGTCTATGTTTTGGGCGGGTCATTACATTACTCCCCTCTCGAGAGCGAGGTCCCTTCGAGTGAGTAACACAGTCAGAGTCGGCACAAAAGGCGTCATAGGCATAGATCAAAAAGAAAGTGTTAGTGACTCCGAACGGAGTGAGTTTTGCAGCAAACTTAGTGGTCTGTCCGTCAACAATTTGTCGTTCATATGCGTTCACAACACGTGGAGCACTCTTTATCAGTTCTTTCCGGTCGATCCAGAAGAATTCGTTCAACGGGTGGTAGAGGAAATGAACTTTGTACTGTGTGTTCCTTCCTCTCCCCTCGTGGGAAACGATTCTGTCGATCTCATGGCCGCCGTCAATAGGGTGAGGTATCATTAGGATCACGAAAGGGAAAAGTCTCATCATCAATGTGTGGGAACAGTTTGGAGGCATGGAAGACTGGATACGTGCGCAAATGAGGAGGCACGTCAATCACATACGAAGGACCGAAATCATCCCCAACTACCTTCAGAATCTGCCAAGGTCGTAGTACAGTGGAAGAAGCTTCCGTGATATGCCCTCTTCATCAGAAAACTCAAACATTTTGACCCAAACATAATACCCTACTTTGAACTTTTCTTCTTTGCGCCGCTTATTGGCATGTTTGATCATGGCATGTTGGCGCTTGTTCATAGCTGTTGTAGCAGCTTTGAGCAAGCGTGCGTACTTGGCATTGTAGCCAGGCATGTCGGGCATCAGACCAGGTGACCGTTCAGGGAACAGATAGGAGAGGGGATTGCGCATCGACCATCCATACTGCAATTGGTTTGGTGTCACACCAGCTGCAGAGTGAATGGAGTTGTTGTACAGCCCCTTCACTTTGTGCGATTCCTTGTCCCACGTGTTCTGATCTGGAACAACTAGTGCGCGAAGTAATTGGATGACAGCCTGGTTGATCTCCTCAGCCAATCCGTTGGCTTCGGGGTGTCGACCAGAAGTCCTGTTCAGTTTGATGTCCTAGATCTGAGATGTGAAGTCTTTCCAATCTTTGCTGATGAATCTGGTGTCCCGATCACTCACAATAGTTTTCGGGACGCCGAACTGCAGAATGTACTGCTGATGGAATTCTTCTATGACAAGTTCAGTCGGGGCGTGAGGAGGGAGAGGAATCAAGTTCAGAAATTTGGAGAAGCGGTCCACAATGACCCTGACTTGTGAATTCCCAGCCTCACTCACCTTTCCCATGTCCGTGAAGTCGATGGAAATCAACTCGCCGGGTCCATCGGGAATGGGAAGAGGTCTCAGTAGGCCATAAGGCTTATGCCTGTGAACCTTGATCCTTTGGCACTCTTGACATTCAGCAATAAATTTCTGAACAGATCCTTTCATTCCTAGCCAGTCAAATTGTTGCAGAAGACTTCCATAAGTCTTCTCAAAGCCAAAATGTCCACTCCGACCGTGCGCCAGATCCAAGAAGTGAGTTCGGAGAGGCGCATGGTTGGGTACACACAAACGATCAAACTTTCCGTACCGGCGAAATACAAGACCCTCGCATTCATGAAAATCAGGCTGCCTGTTGGGGTCAGCCTTGAGCTGCTCAAGGATGGGACTAAGGTCCGGATCCTTGGCAGTATGCTCGACCAGATCCTCCTTCAGTTTCCTCCGGAGGTCGTACTAGTCCACAAGGCAAGTCAAATACTCGGGATGGCGCGACAGAGCATCAGCAACACGATTATAGCAGCCTTTCTTATGTTTTAGTTCAAAGTTGAAAACATCAATGTCATGCAGCCAGCGGGTCAGAGTTGGAGAGAGATCAGTTTGTGTCTTAATCCATTGTAAGGTCTGATGATCTGAATAGACCTTGGAGTGGCGACCCAAGAGGTAGTGCTTCCAATGCGTGAGCGCCTCGCGCAAGGCGTAGAGCTCCCGCATGTATGTGGAAGTGGCTACCTTGTGGCTGGGCATGCGTTTGCTGTAATATTCAAGCGGACGCAGGCCATCGCCATCATCTTGTTGCAGCACTGCACCAATCCCAAACTGGCTCGCGTCCGTAGTGACTACGAACGTGAGGTTGGGATCCGCAATGCGAAGCACGAGATGACTCACCAAAGCCTCTTTCAAGGCTTGGAATGTAGTCTCACACTTTTCACACCACGCATAGGCAACATTCTTACTAGTCAGGCATGAGAGTGGGTGAGCAATGACAGAGAACTTAGGCACAAACTTCCGGTAGTAAGAAGCCAAACCAAGAAAAGAACGCAGCTCGCGTACATTCGCCGGTTGAGGCCAGTTGCGGATGACCTCAACCTTGGTTGCCTCCGGCTCAAGACCGCTTGCAGACAACCGGTGGCCCAGGTAGATAACGCTGTCCCTGCCAAACTCAGATTTCTCCAAGTTGAGGTGCAGTTGAGCATCTTTGAGGACTTGCAAGACCTCCTCGAGATGCTTGACGTGCTCCTCCATGGACTTGCTGAAAATCAGAATGTCATCAAGATACACAACCACAAACCTGTTAAGTTGGTGGCGGAGTACCTTGTCCATGAGGGACTGAAATGTGGCTGGTGCGTTCGTAAGGCCGAAGGGC